GCCACCAATCAAGCCTCCAAACCTGCTGCTCATCTGCAATCAAGCTGCCTACACACTCCACAGTATGTGTTTCTACAAAATGTCCTGGAAAACATACAAGAATCCAACTGACAAGAACAGGGAGTGGTGTACCGGCTAACAGCTATAGCCACATTTAGCTTGACCATCATTTATCACATGTCGTGTCATAACATCCCAGAGCTGTAAGGTCAAGGACAATTAAATATGCTTGTTTTCAGAGCATGCAACATAATGATCACCTGAAGAAGACCTGCTTGTGATTGTGATGAAATAAAAACGTCATTTGATAAAGCGTGCGGGCATATCTTCTTTATTTTGGGGCTTTTGTGCCTTTATTGGAGAGATAGGACAGTGGAGAGAGTCGGAAATCAAGGAGAGAGAGAGGGTCGGGACAGGAGACACAGGTTGGACCCGAACCTGGGCCGCCCCGCTTGGAGGACCACAGCCTCCATACGGGGGAGGCATGCACCACCCACTGTGCCACCAGCGCCCCGACATCTCTTTTCTTTGATACTCATTTTAACCTCTCTTATAAACAAGTTCAAAAGTGTTGAAATAAAGAAATAACAGTTTCAGTTTCATTTAGTTCTCTCACATTTCCTCTGTCATTATAGTTACCACTGCAAGTGCATTCGTCTGTTTTTCCCTGTAGAGTGTGTGCATCTGTGTGTGTGTGTGTCTGTGTGTTCCCTCTATCTCTTCCCGCTCCCTCCGCCAGGACCTGATTTTTTTTTTTTTTAGGAGTGTGTGGTCCTATCTATGCGGGCATGTTACTGTCTTTGTGTGTGTTCCCCTCTCTCTCTCTCTCTCTCTCTCCGTACATTCGGCCCTCACCTCGAGGCGAGTCGATCCTCTTACAGTAATACCATTGCCTAATCTCAGAGGCGTATCAGAGGGAGCTCAGGGCGCTCAGCACTAATAGGTTCACACAAATGGGATCTAGTCAAAAACCTCCCAATCCTCCTGCCTCTGTAAATATGGAGAGCATTATCTGAGTCCGCCCGCAGGCCTCCGATGTGGAACTGATGCAGATTTGACAGAGAGACTGAGAGATAGCAGCCAAAAAAAAAAGGTGATTTAACATGCTGTTAGCAGTGTTACAGACGTAATTTTATTGGTTGTAGGGATGAATCGAATACAGTTTCAACTTCTGGAATAAAAAAAAACCCTGATGGAGTCATTCATGCAGGATTTTAAAATACACATTTCTGACGGTGGTTTCAACATGACTGAAAATATTTGAACACCATATTTTGGGATCTTTTGAGGACCTAAAATGTTGCTGATGCTCCTGACTGCTCTTCATTTCAGGCTCTTAGTTGTTGTTTTTACATCTACAAAAAGCAATGACTGTGAACCAGATATAACCAAAGTCATCTTGACCCATGTGCTGCAGTTTTAGACTCTCAGAGCTGATATTACAGATGAAGTTTGCCTGGTAGATGTTGTCTTAAAGAATCAGTACTTTGACCCAGGAGACTTGAGTTGATTGATCTTACAAAACAATGACTGTGAACCAGATATAACCAAAGTCATCTTGACCCATGTGCTGCAGTTTTAGACTCTCAGAGCTGATATTACAGATGAAGTTTGCCTGGTAGATGTTGTCTTAAAGAATCAGTACTTTGACCCAGGAGACTTGAGTTGATTGATGTTTGAGAATATTACACAATGTTGACTGTTTAAAGCCGAAAAAACATTCAAATATTTTGCATGTATTGAAACTTGAATCATAATGAATTTGAATCCTTAAAGATATAATATACATTTTCTAATCCAGTAGACATTGCACTTTGGCAGCAGTCTCCAAGACCAAAACAAAATTCCCTCAGCACACATCCTCCCCTCCTCCCCTCCACTCCTTTAGTGATCCAACCGAGTGAAGCCTGACTGATCTCCATTCTGATATGCAGCCTAAAGATGATTGGGTTGTAGTATTTTCAATAACTACACTCCGCCATTATGCCTCTATACACGGCATTCCTAATCGGGCGGGGCTATCTCTCTTCCCCCCAGTGGTGGCAGGGCTAAGCGTCGGACAGGAAGGAGTTCATTCTGCAATCAAAACATGTATGAAAAATGTTTGAGCCTCTAAATGAAACATAAAAGAGCTGAAGAAGGCTCCACTCCGTCAGTGTGAACACAGAGCTCAGCACAACAAATGCAGAAGGGAGTTTGACTTCACTCTTTAAAAAAAAAGTAATCTCAACAATGATATATTTGAAAAGGATCAATTTAATATCCACTTTATTACTGTTTAAAATGTTGCATATTTTACCTTTAACCTAACAAAACTGTACTTATTTTGCAACATAGAACAAGTGTAACTTAGTGTTGCACGTCCAAAGGGTTTAATTAAAAAGGGAGTATTTTCAGGGTGCGGATAGCCTATGACACGTCCCCCATGAACAGAGGCTAAAGCCGCCCTGGGTTTGAATCCGGCCTCGGCCCTTTGCTTCGTGTCACTCCCCGACTCTCTCCTTACAAAAGTTTCCTACCTCTCTCCAAATGTCCTATCCAACAAGGATAAAAAGGACAAAGAAATATCACTTGAAATAAGATACAATATTTTCCAAGCGTTATTCTAAAGGTCTTAAATGTTGCTTTTTTTTTTATTTCCTTGATTGTGGATCATTTCAAGTGAACGAGACAAAACCTGAACCCTCATATTTTAAAGACCAAGCTGCCATATTTTTCTAGTAAAACAAAGTTAAATGTTGAGGTATTTCTTTTTACCTGATACATATGAATGCATTTGAAGAAACTGGCTGGTTAAAGTGCACGTAAAGATGTGCATTTAAAGCTGTGACAAGAACAATATCCAGTCCTAAAATTGCACTCATGTGTGAAGATGCCTGAAGGTCTGAGTAAAAATAAAAAGTGATCAACCTGTTCAGATGTGAGCTGCTACAGTATGTGAGCTGCGATGCTCTGTTCCTGCAGCTCAACTATAAACTGAGTGAAGAGAGTCAGAAATCAGAGCCGGGCTGAAAGAGACAGAAACAGTCCTGCAGTGACACCCAGTGGCTACAAATGGTACTGCTTTATTAAGAAGGCATTTCATACAAGTAATGCCTCTTCTCAACGGTGGGATTCAAAAGTCTTTGAACAGGGATTCATGTTTCTCTGTTCAAACTTTGAGTAAAGATTAAAATATAAATGATTTACATCTGAAAGCTCGAGTTCATCTCAAACAGTTTGGGCAAATGGGATAGCCTTTCACAAGCTTTGGGAAAACTTTCGCTTCAGGATGAGAAAAGTCAAATCAGTAGTTCTAGTTGTTCATCGCAAACAACAAGTACAATTGATCAGGACATGACCACTGCATGAGAAAGGACAAAACCCATACAGCAAGGTGTCCCCAAACATCTGAGGAGATGGACATCTAAGACACTCTGACAGATCTGAAGTGGCTATGGCCCTTGCACACGTGTTTACATTTTTAGGCAATGAATGACGTGAAAGAACTTTCAAAGACAGCATGACAAGTGTAATTCTTTAGTGTTAGTCCACCATACATAAAGATACTTGTAGACTCACCCTCAACATGGAGGAGAGACACTTCAATAACATAACTTCTGCTACATCGTGGTGTCTGTTCTTGGACATTTTTATTTGTCTTCATATTTATATTTTAAACTATATATTTTGAAGGCTCTTTAGATTTATACTTTGGAAATAAATGCTTACATTTCATTATTTTTGTTGGTGTCAGATTATTAACAACATAATGATGATGGACGCTTGTTAGAGAGGCACCCTGGGAATGTTTGCCTTAATTGGGCCCCAACAGACTTTAGGTTTCCCGCTGAGTTCAATAATTTGACGTTTGCTAACAGAAGATGTCCATAAACAGCCACCATAATGTAGCAGAAGTTATACTATTCAACTATCTCTCCTCCATACTTAGGGTTAGACTAGCAGCATTCAGTCATTTCCTTTTTATCAGTGAGCGCAGGCTGATGGGGCCCATTTAGGTAGGATTTCAACTGTCATTGCAAACTTTGCACATTTTTGGCCACTGCTGTTGAAATGACCGTTTTAATGCTGGATGAGGCTTCTCATTATTTCACCATATTTGGATAGATATAAATTAACCTGAAAGCTGATTAAGTGTTTTAGGTCATAGCAAAGATGAGAGCCAGGTGTCAAAAAGAAGAAAAGGAAGAGTATGATTATTTTTCTTTAATTTGCATACTAAAAACAAATTCAATTCTCATTAGAATTATATCATGAGAGAAAAAAAAAGGGTAAAAGGTTGCAACCCTAGCTTTTGGTTGAATTCTTCATAGTTAATAATCTTCTATTTCAGCGACAAACATTTTAAACTGATAACTTTAAATTTACTCCTGCAGGCAATTCAAGTAATTGAATACCACTAAAAACTTGTATTAAAGGTCACATATATTCTAGCATTCTATTTCAACTAGTTTAAATAAGTCTCAGAGCTCTCAAGAACATGTCTGTGAAGTTTCTTGTTCTAAATCCACTCTGATCCTGTATTTGATCATGACTATAAACCCCTCTATTTCAGCCCTGCTTGGAACAGGCTGTTTCTGTGTCTGTAGCTTTAAATGTAAATGAGCTGTGTCTGACCATGCCAACTTTTGAAGGGCTTGGGTGTCTCTGACTTTCTCGCTCCATGTCCTATTGTTTACAGTGAGAAGGCAGACTCAGAGGGCAGAACAAACACCTAGCTGTGGGAGTGTCACCCACCTGGGGGAGGGGTTACTGCCCTTTGTGATGTCATGAAGGGAAAATCTCCAAACGGCCTGTTTGAGTACAAAAAGTGGAGCAGGCTAAAGACAGAGAGGATGGACTTTTCTCATCATTGGGGGGTTTGTAGACAGACTAGAGACACATATTAGGTGAAGAGTATTTTGAATTGTATGTCACCATTAAATGTGATACCGTTTACAAGAATGACTGTGTTTATACAAATATCAAGAAAAACACGTAACCATGAAGAAATAAGAACGTTTCAGATTGTTAAATGTGCCTGGCTTTTATTAACAACCACTTGATAAAACACCGTCATAAGACAGAGAGCACACTGCTGCTGAACCAATCACAACAACAGTCCTCATCTACTGCCTCCATTCATTCAGGGATAAAAAGACATTGTCTGCATACGGTAACAGTCAGAACAGGAATGTGTCCCCTTTGGCTTATCTCTGTGCAGCATCATAAAGCTGGTTAAAAGAACAAAAAACACATCCTTGGGTTAGCTTTGAACAACCATCATCACACACAAAATATCGTCATTGATAATATTTTCATTAGTTAGCATTTATGAATCAACTTTTAAGAAGCTGATAATTAAAGAGAGAGAAGAATGGAGTTCAAAGATTTCCTTAAATGTGGATAAACCTTCCTGTTGTTTATTCCCCAGTTCAGATAAGGAGCCCTTGACTTTACAGTTGGTGATTTGTTAACACAAAAAATATTTTCAGCTGAAGGAAGACGACATGCAAGTCTTATAGAGAGTATTTACATGACAAAAAGTGAGGTATACAACGTAGAGTTAGCATCCAGGTTTGAAAGAGGCCTTTTCAGGATCTGAAGGCAGGAAAAAAAAAGTTGTAGTCCTTTAAATATGTGACTACAAAACCCATCTGTGAGGACACTTGTGACATTTGATTAAAGCAAAAGAGAAAAACAGAACTATTCACAACTGAAATCTTAAATTAACACACATTTTATCACATCCAGCCACCTTGCATAGCCTCGTACAGTAACATCGCAACATGAACAATAAAACATTAAAAGGGGATATCTTGACATTTCAGTTGAAGCGCATTGTTGTAACCTGAAGGAGAACGTGTTGATTTGCATTTATAGGGACGGAAATTAAAGTAAAAGAAGCTTTGGTTTGATTACATGTAGCTAACGGACTAATCGACTGGGGTCTGTATTCACACGTCAAGTGCTCTGCAGACTTTGTGCTAAAACTGGGAATGTCAAAAAACAACGCTGTGACTCGTCATCCAGCTGCAAAAAAAAAAGTTTTTGGGTAGGAAGTAAAAATAAGAAAAATAATGGATTTTAAAAGATCCTGAGATAAACAACATAGTCAGTCACACATTCACTGCATGACCTCGAACCCCGTTTAACGGCGGTCATCTCTTCGGTGAGCTTTTTTTCCTTTTTCATTTTAAAGAGTCTGCACGGAGGAGGCACAAAGGGCGGAGGAGGCGGGATCACAGAGAGGAGCAAAAATAAATTCAGGAGTTTCTGCACGACTAAAAGAAAGACATGTCCACTTTCCTGAATACGTGCGACCCCCTCTGACTCCATCTCTCCTGCTCAGCCCCCCCCCCCTCCCTTAGATGTTCTCAGCCTCTCTCTGGGGGGCCTCTCTGATGCTGCCCGGCGGTGCTCCAACAGGTGTCGGGCGCCGTCGAATGCTCCGCCCCGATGCGATGAGGTCAGCGTATCCTCGGGAGTGAGAGAAGGCATAGGCGGAGCGACGTGAACGCCGGCCACGATCGAAGGTTGGTGGCTTTGTCTTCCTCTCCTCCTCTTCCATCTCCATCTCGTACTTCTTCCTGTTTCTGTGGACCTGGAGGACGATGGGAAAAAGGAAGGAGACATTAGTGAAAGACAACTGAGTCATTTTTTTACTTATGGAAGAAGAGGATAAAGGCTCACTTCTGTTTCAAATTGTCAGATTAAACTTTTGGACTCTTAATACACACAGTCGTCAAATCTATTAGATATCCACCAAAAAATAATGTATGCACAGAAAACAGGTTCAAAACAAGTCACTAGTTCAGTGAACTCTATTCACTAATTTTGTACAAAAACGCAGAATCTGTTTGCCAATGATACAATTTTGTGTCCACCTATAATCATCTACTTGCGTTTCAGCCGGCATCTGCTTTTTTAATCCAAAAATAAAAAGGGGAAACATTACAGCTACTGTAAGGAACTGTCCTGGTTGTGTTTATCTAAAGTCCCTGAGGATAAATCACTTTTTCAACTTTTTGCTGATCTTGTCCTGTACATTTGTAAAGTCTTGTTTTCTGATTCAAATCTCATCCTGCTTCCTTTTGGCAGCCACTCAGATCACTGACTGATTCTTGTCTGTTGAAATTGAACATAAACTGTTTGCACTTCTTGACTGCATGCAGGAAGTAATCTCATTGGATGTCAGCCCCGTGTCAGAGATGATAGGCTTAAAAAAATAAAAAAATAACTATATGACAGTTAATCTTCTTCCAAATGGTCTTGTTTTATACGATTTATTTTTCCCTTCAACTACCTCTGTAACTGTTGTTACTTCTACAATAACCTCAGAATATCACTTGTTTTCATTTGACTTTAACTATTTTGAATTCTTGTTCCATCAGCTTCATGTCGGGGAGATTTCTGCAGGCTAAGGGGAAGTTTGTTCACTTTACTCTCTGAGGTCTCACCTTGTCTCCTACGGACGGCCAGATGGTTTTATGGAGGAACTGAATGCAGATGACGGGCAGCAGGCTGATGCCCACAGACAGGATGATGGTTAACCACAGGTAGGGCTGGCGCAGAGCGTTCGACGCTGCACCTACAAAACCACAAAATATCAAGATTTGGATAGTCAGAAGGAGGGCGGAGTTTGAGGTGGGGAAAAATGGCTGTATGGTAGGAGTAAGTGCAGTTAATTCAACAAGTTCATACGGCACCATTTTCCTCTGATGACATGCTTAGATGCTTTGATTTAAATCAAGACTTTTTGTTTTGTTTTCCAGCGAAAGAGAAGCCAAAATGGTAAAACGTGGTGCAGAGTATCTCTCTGGAGAAATCCAAAATACAACAGTGACTGTGTTTGCATTTGTTAAACTAGAATTGTGCACTCACAGGTTTGTGTTGAGATTTAACGCTTAACAAAAGATTGTTCTGATGTTCAAAACATGGAACCCTGGACAAAGGGAAACTTTTAAATGCGAACTTCACAGACAGACAATTGAACTCTTTCATTACTTCCTGCAGCTTGAAAGCAAATCAGAGCGTTTTGGTATTTTGGGGAAGAGACTACAAAGTCAGACAATTCAGTTAACCACAATGCACTGCAGTGAATGTGTAATGACTGACCGGTGAAGGTGAACACTGACGGGAAGATGACGTGGATCCCAGCACTGTGGATGTCAAACACGATGCCAAAGTAGATGGCTATGCTGCCCAAAACGGCAAAGCAGTTAACAAAGGTCCAGTAGGAGGTGTCCAGAGAGATCTAAACAAACGAGAGGACGAATAGAGGACACAAATCAGCAGCTGATTCACACAACAACGAACATTTCATTCATATTTATAGACCTTTAAAAAATGCATACTACCCCTGGAGCTACTAAAGGGTTGAGATGATCATCTTCATCGAGAAAAAAATATCACATGTTCTCTGGTTTTCAGATTCAAGACTTCAAAGACAACTCGAGAACATGTTGATTTTTCCCTTTCATTTAGTCATTCATTCATGCACTAGGAAAAAGGTCAAAACTCTTCAGTCTTTGCTGAGTCTAGTTGCTGCTAACGTGAAACTGACCTGCAGGTTGACGGTGAAAATGAGCGTCGAGGCGGTGACGACGGCCAAGGACTGGTAGTCTGAGGGCGCTTCTCCGTCCTGCCCCATGGTCTGCAGAAAGGCTCCGTACGGGATGAAGAAGATGATGAGCGAGACGAAGATGCCGTGGAACAAACTGATGAAGAAATTCCTGTAGTTAAACAACGCCCCCTTCTGGCCGGGCAGGTAGAGCTTTGGGAATTTCAGACTCAGTTTATCGTTGACATCCTGCAGGAGGAGAAGGGACGAAGAGGGGGATTCATTCAGAGTAACAGGGGACTTTAGTTTTTTTTGTGAGAGGTTGGGTGATTTGTTCAAGAATTATTTAGTGTAACTTTAATTTTCTACACTTCATTAATCCTGAGGGAAATGACACTTTTCACTTACACACACGCATTTAGGGGGGATGTCAGAGTGAGGGGGCCGCACAGAGACTCGCGCTTTGAGCAGTTGCAGGTTCAGTTCCGCGGACTCGGACCGGTGACCCTGCGGCTACCAACATCAAATCCCTGGATACTAAGCTACTGCCGCCCCAAACCAATACGCTTTTTATCAAGATGGGAATCCCTTTATTTTAAACCAGTGTCTTCTTGTTACATTTCTTCCTATGCCTGCTTCTTACCTGGTCCAGAAGTCCGACTAGGAGAACCGGTAAGCTGCTGTAACAGAGATTGTAGAGAGTGATGAACCAGTTTTCGTAGGCGATCTGCAGAAAGGGAAACCATCATTTAGTTTATCAGCTGCGCCATGAAAACAGCTGTTGTTATGTACAAGACATTTTACGACAGTGGTTCCCCACCAGAGGATAATGATATGTAAGGGTCCTTAGCATGGGAAAGTTTGTGAACCCCTGGTCAAGCACTGGAGAAAACTTCATTCTTTATTTCAGTGTTTTTAACCACAGAGTCTGTTTGTTTTTGTAGAGTCAGAGACCTGAGGATGCCTGTAGAGACATTGTGAACAAAGGGGACTTGAGGGTCATATCAAGACTTGTTTTGTATTTCTATTGCTTTCCTTGATGTTGATCCTGTTGTCCATTGACTGATGGTTTTGATTCATGAACTTTAAGGTAAATCGCTTCATACTATCATATGATCACTTTCCTGTAGGATCTTAATATCAGGGCATTATTAGTTCTTACATACGACTGAGTTATTGGCCAAACACTGCTGAGCTGCTGACCTGTGAGGAGTATCCGCTGAAGAAGGAGTACCAGAAGTGGACGAGTGTGAAGGCGAAGTTCTTGAAGAAGAAGTAACGTAGAAACTTGCACATGCGGATGTAGGACCAGCGTCCGTGCACCAGCAGGAGGCGCTGCAGGAAACGGAACTGAGCGAAGGCGTAGTCGCTCGACATGACGGCCTGCATCCCCTCCTGACCGCTGAGCCCCACGCCGATGTCTGCAGCTGGAAGGAGAGAGGTGGAGACAAGAGGACGGGGACATTTAGATTTAACCTCAACGTGTTTAATGATGAAAAGACGTGAGCAGAGTTTCTTTGTGTCCTTACTCTTGATCATGTTGACGTCGTTGGCTCCGTCCCCGATGGAGAGCGTCACCGCCTTCTTGTACTTCTTCACCAAACTCACCACGTTAGCTTTCTGTTTGGGCGTGACACGGCAGCAGATGACCGCCTCGCACTCGCAGGCCATGTCCACAAAGTCGATCTGTAGAGACATGTCAGCGTATTCGTTATCATGCGACGATAACTCACTTTTATTAAATGTCTCATGTTAAGTCTTACCTGTCTCAGCTCCTTCTCCAAGTCGTCCATCGGCTGGCTGTCCTGAGGGATGGCGGGAGGTGGTCGCCTTCCAAGACGGCGAAGACGAAGGCGACGGCGTTTCTTCTTCTTTTCATAAAGAATCTCGTTCTGAGATGCAGATAAAAAGAAGAAATGAGCACAATCCAACATGTTGGCTGGTCAGAAAATCAGATATTACACCTTTTTTTTTTTTTATTCCTCGAGTGATTAGGAGGGGTTGGAGATGCATTATTCTCTGCAATCGGAGCGCGACCATCAACTGTCTGCATGTGACCACTATGATCTCCGTGCACATCATTTAACTTCTGCATTATAGTTCCATCAAACAACACAAAGTGTTGATATAAAGGCAAAGATTCCTCTTTATAGCGTCGTATAGCGGTCTCTGTTGCTTCGTCCACTACTTTTTTGTCTTTTTTTTTGATGTGTTGTATAGAACTCACCAGCCATCCTCCGGTGATGACGAGAGCGTTTTTTCCGGGCATGTTGAAGAACGGCTCTGTAGGTCTCTTCCTCCGGCGGTTGAGGGATTGAGGTTCATTTCTCCGGTGGGTCTGACGAATCCTCAGCTTCTCACTGGAGACAGAGACACAGCGGAGACACGAGTTAGAGACAGGCGTCTTCTTCAGCACGCTCCTCTCTGACTGAGTAAGACTTTAAAAATCAACTCACTTCACATCTTCTCCGTAGTGGATCGCCATGTCATCAGTCAAAAGGGAACAAGAATATCCGATGTTCTCGGCCGTTTCTGGGAAAAGATCAAACATGTTGAACATGAGACAAAATCCAAACAGTACAGTTTGTGAACACATGAATCATGATCTTAAATTACTTTTATTAACACATCTTGATAACAAATCGAGGAGGATGAAGCTCCTTAACTTTTACAGCAACATTATTCTGAAGGTGTTATTAAGAGGCGAAGTTATTCATGTATCCAAATAGCTAATAAACCATTGTTTACAAGAAACATGATCATAGCTATAACAGACTGAACCGCAGACTGTACAAACATGGACGGACTATCAGTGACGTCACCCATTGGAAGGGACTCTTGAGGCCCAACGGTGGCGGTCGCCATGACGCCGGGCCTCTGATGTTGTCATTTTTAAACGGGTGTGTCTTTCAGGACTTTTGCAGCCAGCCTCAAGTGGATTTTTTAGTTTTCACTCCCACTTATTTTTCCAACACTGGAGGTTTCTGCTTGGTCTGAACTGACGGTACCTTTCTTATCTCCAGTCAGGACCCAGATCTTGATGTCGGCCTTGGCCAGTTTAGCGATGGTCTCTGGCACTCCGTCCTGCAGTTTGTCCTCGATGGCGGTCGCCCCGATCAGCTGGAAGGAGGGATACAGCGTCTTAAATGTAGCTAAGGCTCAATGATTCAGGCTTTTACAGATGTTTAGTTATAAGTTACGTAAAGGGAAAGAATATCAAACACTTTTTAACAACCCTCCACCATTACTATTAATTCTGCTACTTCCCCATGGACAGACAGGACTTATGGGCTAGCTACCATGTTGCAAACCCTTTGATTGTCATTCCCTCTTCCTGCTGCTCTCCCTGATTTTTTTTTTTTTTTTTTAAAAGACACATTTCAGTGTATTTGGCAACAGTAAAGCCAATAAATATCCTCACCAAGGTCTCCTTCCATTCTTCTCATTAAACAAGTGAATATGTGGAATTAAATTAGCACTCTGCTAGCTGTTTCACAGGAACTTTGGGGGTAAAATCCAACAATTATGCAACAAAAAAAAAAGAATACAAATCAACAAATAGTCACTTTTGTTTTCCATACCCCCAAACTGGAACAGTGCCTAATCTGCAGACATGATCAGCATTACTGTCTGCTAAAACCTTTCGAGCTGTGGACATTGTGTCTATCATTTTTTTCATTTCTACTTCTAAGGGGTGGGGTTCATGTCACACTAATGTGGAGCTGCACTCACCAACAGGTTGCTCTCGATCTGCTCGTACACTCGGTCGAGGGCAACATCTCTTTCAGACATGCTGACCTGAGCCTCTTTGTGTTTCCTCGACCAGGCGTCGTACTCGGCTGCGCTGATGTCTTTGTAACACAAGCACAGCGTCCTCAATGTGGCGTTGGCAAAGATCTGAAGAACAAAACAGAGATGATCCCTTTCAGAGAAACCAACATGCATGCCTCGTACATATAATTATGTATTTAAACTGTATGGTGTGGTTTTCAAACAGGCATTAAGAACTTACATCCAGAGCTGCCTGTGTGGTTTCTTTGTGTCTGGAGTCGGGCGAGAGTCGCTCATAGATGACCGTGTCGGCTCCTTTACAGTACAGACGGATTCGACCATCGGGAAACTTCACTGAAACAGAGAGCAGAGGACGAAGAGAGTCAAAACCTCTGCTTTAAATTCTTGAATCAAGTCCTCCATAAAGAAAAGTCTTTACAAGTAATCATGATTCTGTCTGCTGATGATTAACACACCTCTCGTTCCTGTTTAAGCATCGTTTTTAACATGCTCCAATATTTGCTTCACTCTTAAAATCAAGAGGCTATGCACACAACCATAGCCAGTACATGCAAATGTCTGTGTCTGTGTGTGTGTGTGTGTCTGTGTCTGTGTCTGTGTGTGTGTGTGTGTGTCTGTGTCTGTGTCTGTGTCTGTGTCTGTGTGTGTGTGTGTGTGTGTGTGTGTGTGTGTGTGTGTGTGTGTGTGTGTGCTCGTACAGATGATGGACATGCGCTTGCGGTCCGAGTTGAAGTCGAGCAGCGCCAACATCTCGTAGGTGCTCTCCTGGTCCATCTCATTGATGGTGATGGTGTCCTGTGTTCGAGACAGAAACACGTAACCAAAGTTCCTCGCTGCCGTCACCAGAGCGCCCTCGTCAGGAGAAGCTGCCTGGTACACCAGTTCACCTGAGAGACGGGGAGGAGCCATACATACGTTTTGTTTTATTGCAATTTTCTTGCAGAGAAAAACATCCTTATGTTGTCTAATATATAGCAGTCTGATTTAACGACAGGACAATATCTCTTAAAGCAGGTTAGAGTCCTCTGAAAGTTCACAAACTGTCAAACTGGTGGCTGTCATGTAAACTCATCAGCTTCCAAACAAGACTTTAAAGATTACCGTCTTTGTTGTCCACCATGACGGTGTGGCAGAGGGAGAGCAGCTTGAAGAACTCGGAGACGTCTTTATCCTTCTTGGATCGCACACAGGAAACCAGAGAGTGATCCATAAAATCAAACTTTTTGTCAGCCTGCTGGTTCCAGCTCCAGTCCACGGGCTAAAGTCAAAAACAGGGAAAACGTTTTCTCAAAATGACAGTGGAAATATTCAGGAATTGTTGAAAGAGCAAAAAATAAATTAAAAGTGTCACTGTTTTCCTTTTTTAACTTTGCAAATAGTTCAGTGACACAGACAGTTTATAAGAAGTGGATGTAGTTTATCTTTTAACATGGTGCTTTTTTTTTTTTTTTTTTTTTTTTTTTTTAAATGGCAAGTAGTGACCATATTTGGGCGAGAGTGTCTATATGTATTACTGGAGGGTCAGGGGGGTTTGATCCCCAGCTCCTGACATCACATATCGAAGAGTCCTCAGACACAACACTGAACCCCAAACTGCTCCCGCTGCTGCGTCAGCAACATGAGTGTGTATGAATGGGATGAGTTAATACTGATGGACCCTTTACACATCAGCCTCTACCATCAGTGTGTGACATGTGGTGTAAAAGTGCATTAAGTCCCAGTCCTCAGTCAGCTGAGTGTAGTCTTATTCTCTTGTGGTCTATCTGACTTGAATTTGAAACCACTGGTGTTGTCCTCTGCTATTAATTACAGGAATTCCACTTCTTATATTTGGTCGATTCATCTAAGAAAACGTTCTTTGTAAAAGTAACTTTATGTTATACTTTACCCTTCCTCTGTCCAGCGTCACGCCTTCAGCCGTGGTCGGATCACCTACGAAGAAATGTCAAAAGTCTTAGAAAAGAAAAAAACCTGAACATCTACACAAATACATTCAAGTGTATTTACAGGTGAACTGTAGCAAAGAAGTACTCTGCACATGAAGCAGAGTACTGCACATGTTTTTATTTATTTGTTGTATATAAGTTAAGAATGAGCTTTATTAAAGATTTTATCTGTGAAGAAGTGGAAAAATGTAAAGCTAGAAGTGACAAAAACTATGAAATAGATAAAAAAAAAAAATAGCATGCCATTCTTAATCCTTTTGTTAGAATTTTATACGGTTTTATTTAATCCTCTTTAAACATTCTGCATATTTGATTAATGTACTTATTCTTTTATTTACTCCTCTTTCAATCGCAGCATTTTTTTAATTTAATTTTATTTCCTTGTTAAATGTAGACACTTATTTTGTCTTTCTACAGTTCCATGTTTTTTTTTTTTTATCCTTTCACAGTTTTGATCCTTTTACCGCACTACTTTGCCTTCTGCACAAACAAACATGTCAGGTAGATTTTTTTCTGAGTTTTCAGTTCTCGACACAGTTAAATATAGTTCTGTTTTTAGACTTTGTTCTGCTTTGAATAATATGAAACTTCTTCTTGCTGCATTCTTCCAGTTTCCTGAAAAGATCATTCAGGCGTCACTCTCTCATATCACAAAGCAGTTCAGACAAAGATCAAACAAACCTTTCAGGTACATGTGGAAAGCTATGGTGTTATGTAAAGATTCAGAGGAACCTTTGGTGTATGGAAAACAGACAGCAGGTGCCGCTCTCTCACTTGTTGTATTTTGACCTTGACAATTCACCGTCTCTAGTTTACTTCCTCATTGTTTTAAGAAAAACTCTGCGGAGCCTCAGTGGGATTACAAAAGTCTCAGTTTCTTATGTTTGATGAAATAGAGACGATCAGTACCATAGGTGCGTCCAGCAATGGTGCACTTCTTGAACTGCATGATGTTCTGCGTCAGAGTTCCCGTCTTGTCGGAGAAGATGTACTCGATCTGACCCAGCTGCTCGTTCAGGGTGGTGGTTCGAGCCTGCACAGACGAGCAACAGGAGACTTAATGAAAAGGTGGTGAAGAACGCACAGGGAGAAGTATGACTGCTAATCTTTAGCTGGAACAAGTCCGACTTCATTATTACGAGATGAGATGACAAAGTGATTTTATGTTTTTAATCCTTTCTATAAAGAAAGTTAGAAAGTTTCTGTATATTGGATTTGATGTGTGTTGCATCAGGATCTAAGTCCTGAAGCTGGTAAAGATGATGAAAGCAGTGACGTACCTTAGCTGGTGTGTCTTTCTCTGCGTAGTACATCTGCAGGTCCCAGTTGATGAATTTACTCTGACCCAGACGGATCACCTCCACACTGAGGACAAAACACACAGAAAGGCTTTCTGTTGTGTTCTTGGAGGTTAAGATGACCTTAGACTGAAAATCTTTATTTTTAACAGAAGAGCATATCCTCCCAAGACACATCAGTAAGACTACTTAAAGAAGACATCCCTACTTCCTCTCATGAAGGCAGACTACTGCTGTTTTTAAAACTGCCTACTGTACTAGTAGTGCGTACTGAGTTGGCCAATGTAGTGTAGTATGTGAACAAATGCGAGATCGCAGTATGCCGGATATATCCAAAAGTCATACTGGTTTGGTTATAATCTACAGCATGCATCAGAGCCGTCTCCCTCGTGTACTGTTTCCCACAATGCAAAGCGCCAGGTCAGAGATCAAAATGATGGACAGCAACGGCTATCGTAACCGGGAAATAATCACAATCAGACCACAGTGTTTCCCCTAGCTTGGAGTTGTAGAAGCAGTGGTGAAGTGGAACAATGTTTTAGTTGCGAGCAATTTTTAAAAATTCTTGTTATTAATATAATTATTAACATTTGTTGGAAAAAAATAAATCAACCAACAACCACACCATTGTCATAACCCCGCTTATGCGTAATGGCAAAAGACGAGAGGAGTCCAAATTTTACCAAAGAAAATGAATAATTTATTTCGAAACTTAAAAAAAAAAAGAAAAAAAAAAAAAAAACAGCAGCAGTGGTGATACAGTATAACACTGATGCACCACTGGTGCTCGATGCGTATAGGGGAAAAAAATGAAACACTGGACCAATCCACACAAAGATACCGCCCATGATCTCTTTTGATTCTCATTATAATGAAAATCAAAATGAATCACTGTGAGCTTTTTTTCAGACTGCAAGTGGATGTCTATCGTGTAGCGTATTTTCCGTCAGCTGATCTATTGTTTATTTCTGCATTCCAAGACCAGAAACCAGTTTAGGCATACTGCAAAATAACCACTGACTGGCAGTCAAACTACATACTACTGTTGAATGTTGTATGGGGTATGTACATACTTATTATGTGGCGGTTTGGAAAACAGCCAATGTGAGAAATCCCCAAATATGTGTGTGTGGTGTTACTGACCTGACATAAAGAGAAATGGGCACCATGGTGTTGAGGACGATGATGTATCCCCAGAAGCTGAGGAAGCCTCTGTAGGAGGAGTTATGGTTTTTGCCGTCGAACAGATACCAGGCCTTCGAGCCGATCTCTTCGTACCAGAAGGTGTGACCGATGGCGAGGCCAGCCGCCACCAGGATCAGCAGCACGAAGATCTACAGAAGCGGGGACAGGGACACAGTCATACAGGAGGGAACCAAGAGAAAGACTTTATACCAAAGGGGAGGGGTTTGACCTCGACTCTGACTTACTGTGTAAACCATGTAGTTCATCAGCTCATCGATCTTGGTCCTCTTGAACCTCGTCTTTCCACTGTTCTTCATGATTTTAGTGTCAGCACCTGCAGAAAAAGAAATTCATCTCAATGTTGAATTCTAGCCAAAGTCATTATAAGCCATCATTAATAATATCTGACACAATCAAACCGAGTTTTACACCAGTAAGAAATGAGGGTTGGTGAAGACGGCATTGGATAACTTTTATTATAACTTTCTAAAAATGTACAAAAAGTCACAAAGACTTAAAGAGAGAAGTCTTCAGATGTTTTCTTCTGAAGCACCAACAACATAAATATTCCAAAAACACTGATTTTAGATGATATAAAAATTAAGATTATTTAAATAATATAATACAATCTCTCACTGGGGAAGTTAAAGGTGGAGAATTTGGGGCATGTTTTGTTGCTTTATTTAAATTATGGGGATTTTTTTTTTTTTTCTGTAAATCAGGTGACGTCACCTGATCTACTCTATTCAATGTAAAGAGAGACTTAAAATGGACGTCCAAGGAGCGCCGGAGAGCAAGGCCATTATGTAATGCACGTTACATACAGAGGCTTCATTCTAGAAGCGGGTGACTCCGGTTCAACTCCGACCCATTTATCGTCTACCCTCTCCTACAATAAGGCCATCAAAGCCCAAAATATAATCTTAAAAATGGAAAATTACAGCTGTACATTGCCAACCAGGAAGATCATCGTTGCACTGTCAGAACAAAAACAATCTTTTCTCTAGTAATACGTTCTGCAGCAGTCCTATGTTGTTCAGAGTGCAAACCTGCAAAGATGACGAGTCCGTGACAATGCTCCGTGTTCCTGATCTTGCAGCCTCGGAGCAGCATGTTGTCGAGGTCCAGAGGGTAACGCTCCCTGTCCCACAGCATCGTCCCCACAAACTTGTCCAGGCGATTGTTCGGTTCCTCGCACTCGATCAGAGCTTCAGGAGAGGAGAAAGGGAACGTTAGAACTTTTCATCATGTACATTAAAAAAGGAAACTGTTTCTGTGAGTGTTGAGTTTGTTCTGTGAGCTTTTTTTACTTCTTGTTTATTTGTCTGTAGTGTATGTTTGACCCTAACCCGGGGACGCAGAGTTGGCCTGCTTCTGTTGAACTGGCAGATGCCAAACACTCGCAGTTAGCTTGTGCTAGCGTGCGTTAGCTTGCAGTGTAGGTACAAGCAGTAAACGTACACATTACATCCTGCAGTGAGCGTTCACTTCTCGGGGCGATGAGCCTTGATATTTACAAGCTGCAACAAACCTTTCTACTGACTCCACCTTTAAGATGAATATCCTTTTCCATTCTGTTTTTTACCCTAATAATATGATCTTTTTATCTATAATAAACTGTTCTTATCTATTTGCAGTAGGCAGCTCAGGGAGATGCTTCACTGCTTCGTTTGTCTTGCACATTAGCAATAAAGACCTGATCTGGAATTCTCCAAATATGTTTTTTTTGGGTATAAATTGAAACAGTTTTATGAAATGTAAATATTTTAAAACAGAAACCCTTTTTATCTTTAGGTGAATTTGTGTCTGATTGGTGAAAAGTGAGTTAAGTTTCTCCAAACAAACTTTTCTTGTAGGTCTGAAATATTCTCACCGTTAAACTCAGCCAGCTGTCGTTCATGCTGCAGCCTCTCGTCAGTCACTCTCAGTCCCATCTTAAACTTCAGGTTCGTCTCTCTGCAGAGGAAAGACAAGAACAAACCCACAGGACTGAGAACCAAATCCAAAGGAGACTAAATAAGGGCGCAATCTGTACCATGACCAATCATGTTTGACCTTAAAGTCCAGTTTGTTTGACGAATTGAGTGTGAGTGCTACGTTCCTACTTCCTTAGCTCTGGTAGGTTGAAAGAGAAGTGCTTTGGCCGGGTACAGATGCTCATGCACGAGCACAAGCAAGCATGGGTACACAACGTGGACGTGAAGTATAATCGATCCCTCCCTCAATTTACGAGAAATCCCGGAGAGTTATAACTGTATCTGACTTTAATGACTCAAAATAAGACACAAAGTCAGTAAAGTAGCGGCCATGTTTCTGTATTGTTCTCCGATGTGCAGATGTATTACGACCTTATGTACAACAGGTAACCGTGCTCAGCCCGGTTAGTCCTGGAGCAGAGTGAGTGCACGCCAGCGCTGGAATGGAGAGGGAGAGCAATTATGCTTCAGCACGGCACGGAGCAACCGAGCCTAATGTGAGTGCGCCCTTAGAGTTTAACAAATTTAAATACATAAGAGTCTGGATTTAGAAAAATCCTTTTGGAAAATTATCATTTCAAAAGTAAGATTTCTAACATGTTATGGATAAGTTAGTCAATCCATCATTCTTTATTTGTGTAGCACCAATTCATAAAAAATGTTCTCAAGACACTTTACAAAAAGCCAGTGAAAGACTTACACTGTGTTATGTTAGACACAAAGTTGATCCATCATGAGCACACTGAACACACATTTAGCAAAGATACAGTGGCAAGGAAAAATGTCCTTTTAAGAGGCAGAAACCTCGAGCAGAACCAGACGCATGATGAACAGCCTTCTGCCAAAACGGCGCCGGGCAGTAAGTAAAAGCGAATGTATTAAAAGCGTATAAATCAGACTTCAATGTTCCACAGAGCTCTGTGAAGACAGCAGTGATACTGAGTTCTGTTTCAGTTTAGCTGCAACAAAGTAAATACGTTCATTATTATTCCTGTTTGATTTAAAGGCGTTCCTCATTTATCGCTTTCACACACGCCACAAGGACGAGTTCTGCTGCAGAGGCCGTTTAGCTCTTTCCACATTTAATCTCTGCTGATCGATGAGTAAGATGTTGACCGACCTCGTGAGAAACCACGGAGCACACAAAAACTTATCAGAGCAAATAACACAAATCCTGAATCGCCTTGTAGCAGATAGAGTCCATTATATAATGTGAACATAGCAGTCCTTACGGTAAAGGGGAATTCTCCGTCCTTGTCTTCCTCATAAGCATGACATTATCATTAACATCGTCTCTCATATCACATTGTACTGCGCCTTGTGATGAATGCTATGATTAATCTTTTGTTGTTGCATTTGTCCTATCAGGAAACAAAGTTGAATAAGGTCAAGATAAAGGACTGTATTTATTCTGTCATGTCCTCTGCTCTGGGCCGCCTCCTTTTTCACCATCTCATGCTAGAGAGAGCGGAGGTCCGTTTGCAAACGCCTGAATTAAACTATCAGAAAGACAACTGTTGGCTCGGTGTTGTACTTCAAACATATCTCCAGAACAGTCATGAATCACATTGTCTTGTAAAAGGAGACACACACACCCGACTTAATCCTGTGATCTGCTTTCCTGTCCACTTCTCTTCTTCATTTTTTTATTAAATCAAAAGATTTAAAGGGGACATATGAAAAATCCACTTTGACAATGTTTTTGAACATATATTTGGTAACCTGAGTGTCTACTGACCCACAAAATGTGAAATAAACCCATCCAGTCCTTTGTTTGTGGTCTCCATAAGTCTAAACACAGAAAAATGCTCTATTTTCAAATTTGCTCTCCTTGTGATGTCACAGTGGGATTCTGGTTACAAGAAAAATACCTCCCCTCCCCTGGTAACTACACCCAAGGACACCTCCAGCCTAGAGCAAAACTTTTGAGCAGGTTTGCCATTTTTATTCTCGTTAGTGACGAAGTGATGTCTAATGTCTAATTCAGGGGGGGCTCATTGCATTTAAAGAGACACACACACCAAAACAAAGCGTTCTGAGAGAGCTGGTTTATAGAGGGTCACAAACCTCCTCTGGTGCTTGATTCATGTTATATTTTGACCAAAGCACAGCACAGATGTTTCATTTAGACCACAGAGGACTGTTTGAATAGGTGGAGAAGGGGGATAATATGTCCTCTTTGAAAGTACTTCTCTAGGTGGTATTGAGATTCTTTAAAGGTATGTCTTACCCGTCGAGTTCGGCTGTTTCTACGTAGCACAAGCTGTTTGGGTCAGAGCTTGATAACAACAGGATGTCAGCCTGAAGAACAGAAAAACATTTGCATCAGAAAAAATATGATATTCAATAAGCACATCTGACCAAACATCGGATTCTGGTGTATTTCTGTCCTGCTTTAGGTATGTCGTTGATTCAGAGCTACCCATTTAAAAAAAATGCAATCATCTAAATATTTAAAGCAAATTGTTTTAATGGTCTTAAACGAAAATAATTTGGCCTTGTATTTTCTATAATTTGCTGTCTGGGCTTATCAGAGTATTTGAAGATTGCTCATTAAAGTTAGTTAATAATTTGTAACTGGATTTTAGCACAGCCTTGATTTCATCAAACGTCAGAATATTTCAGTTCAGAGTTAACGTCTTCGCTTCACTTGTTCATTTTGCTGAAATACACTAACCCATGTATTTACTTTGTGAGACCCTTAATATTAAACTTGAGGTACTATGATGTAAAAAGTTTACTTAACAGGAAACTAAAAACAGATGTGCAGCGATGGTGGGCAATGTTATCGCTAGCTTGATATACAGCAATACGGGAACTGTTTGATATTTTCTATGTGACCATCATGAACACATGCAGGAGATCAAACATGCACCAGTCAGTCAGGTTTAATCACTTACCGGGATGAAGTCGTTCTTCCTTAGGTGGACCACATCTCCAACCTGGATGTCCCTCCACTTTGATTCTTGAAACCTGCAGCAGAAATCCAACCAGAGTTTTAAACATGTGATTTGATCATTTTAACGATATACACAGACATTAAAGTTGTAAAGTAATACGCCTCATATAGAGCCCATAGTATGCTGAGTGCTAAAGCACATTATCTATACTGTATGTTTGCAATGAATGGTTTTAAAAGATTTTCTATCTTTTCGTAGATAAATCAGGAAAAAAGACGAGCTAGCTTACTGACATTGACGTAATTTTTCAAAAGTATTATTTAAAAGGAAGAATGTGTGACTTTTTGATCCAGTAGTCGCCCTTGAGCACCAATATGAAACCAAAACAAACTGCTGTTTGGCGACACCTCCGCTATTCTGAATCCTCTGCTCTTCTCCAGCAACACATCTCCAACCCCTCTCCACTCACGTTTGCAAGAAGGAGTTTAGCACAAGCAATGGACAAAATTGTCCTCGGCTCGAGCTGCCATCGCTTGTATCCGGCATTGTTGTGTTAGTATGCTAATGTTAGCGCTCTTTAGTTAGCTCGTAGCTTCACATTGCACATAAATTGACACAGAATGATCTTGATCTAAAAACACTTAAGTGAAATCCAAATAAGCAAGTATGTAATTCTTCTTTTCTGTAGTCCTTGACTAAAACAGCTTTCATACACAAGGGCAGGAGCTGGCCGTCCCGTCCATGTAAACACATCTCTGACAACAACACAGCCAACAGGACTTGCGCCTCTCACTCATTGTCAACAGTCATGACTCAGGAGACATTTACAGAGGATAAACTTGATTTCTATTAACAAATCAAAGCTAATAACAAAGTGACTTCTGACCTTCCATCTAGCAGGACCTCACACTTCCTGTTGTTGATCTCTTTATCCATCTTATGTCGCGCCTGAAAGAAAATAAAACTCAATCAGAATATTACTTCATGTATTTTTCGTTGACAATATCCAATAATTTGACTTTCCTGTATTGTCGTTGAACATTAACAAGTTTCAAATTAGTGTAAAAATATCTCAAACAACATCATCTGAGTCAGCCTTAAAAAATATAGAAACTTTGTAAGGCTACGTGCAGACGTTAGATAAAACGGACTGGTTTAACATTAATGTAGCAGTCCTGTTGACAAAATCAAAACCTGATCTTGTGTGTGAGCCTCTCTTACCAGATCGTCCACCAGGTCTTTGATGGCGGTGACTCCGAGCACCACGACCAGAGGAATCAGAGTGGTGTACCAGGGCAGTGTGCTAATATCTGGAATAATCTGACAAACAAAAACAAATGTCAGTTTCTGGTTTAATGTTCATTTTAAAACAGTTTTTTTTGTCTTTCTTTGGCGTACCTGTAAGATTAATAGCGCCAGAAAGTAAAGGTTGGCCACTCTCTTGAACTGCTCGTACAGGTTGAGGGGGATGAAGGTGAGGACGTTGTACTTGTACGTCTTGATGGCGTTTCCCTGAAGAGAAACACAAAGCAGACAGCGATGTCACCTTTTTTCTGATGGACCATCATAGAAAATAAAACTGATGATGTCATAGTGAAGGATTGGGTGCTGACCAGGCAGGTTGGGTTTAATGAAGACAACTGAGGTGCAAAGAGAGGATTTGTTGGATCCAATATTTTGACCGTCATTTATGCTAAAAATCTCTGTAACCTGGATTGCAAGCACTCCAATTAGGATAATTTTTCATTTCAACACTGGACAATGTCTAGAAATAGTCAGCAGGGGGTTTTCCAAGTCAGGCTTTTTCTTAAATGCTAGATTTGCTAACGTTAGCATCTAAGTTCAGGTTTCTCTTTGGCGCTTTCATTAAAAAAAGACGAAGATATTATAAACAACATAAGACACAGTAGCCTCAGAGGGGGGCAGTTTATCCTGAATCTGTAAGTGCCCATCTGTTGTCAGGGGTGTCAGGAGTGATGGGGTGCTGTATTTCAGCCAAGGTCAACCCTCTGATCTCCGTCCATTTTTCTTCCAAAACCGCTGAAAACCATGTTTAAACCATTGTGTACCATATATATCGAGGTTGTAGTAACATTCTCCTTTATTGTAACTGAACTAGTTGGATGGTGTAGGTGTTGGTTTACTTGTTTATTTGAGTTTCTCTTCTGAAAACTGAGAACCAGTTTCAAATCTAGTCTGAGTCCTAGTTAACCATGCAGGCACTGACCCAGTTTGTATGTCTGTCAGTAACAAGACAGAGCTGCATTTCATTATAGATAACCATCTGATTAGAAGACCAATTCGTCGGCAGGACAATCACAAGCTCTGCTAAAAACATTCATTACCTTTTCCTCCTCTCTCTGAGAGCCCTGTTAGTTCTAGGACTCTTTGAGTTGTTTCTAAAATGTTCTGGTTTCAGTCCCACAGAGTCTCGCTGATGTGTTCAATGTGTCTATTAGTGAGATACAGGTCGGCTCGGTTGATCAGGTTTCTGCCTCCACAAAGACTGACGACACAAAGCTTCACTCAAAAGACACTGCTCTGTTCACCAGCTGCTCAAAAACACAATGTCACACCAGCGAGTCTGAACATTTCAGCTATGAGCTGGTACTTAAAAACACAGAAAAGTACTTCAAGATCTAAAGGTTTCATTTGAAGGGTAGGCGAATGTAAGAACTGGGCTAAAAATATAGTCTGAAAATGTTCAGAAACGAAGTAAAGCCAAAGTCTAATGTGAGCTATGAAAGCTTTACGATAAATCAAGTGCAAAACTTCACATTCATTTACATGCTTCAGCTTTATCTTATCATACATCTACATCTCATGTAAAAAGCATCGTGTAAAACATGACAGTGCTGTCAGAGTGAAATAACTCATTAGACTGGAAAATATGTCCCCTCAGATACTCAGGGAGCTACATCAGAGTCAGGAATGACTTACCAGAAACAGAGAGGTGACATTAGGAGGAATATAAGGAATGAGGAAAACTAACAAAGCAACAACACAGCTGTTCTCTTCACAGTGATGTATCTCACTGGTACATAAACCTGGGATTTACATTTTAAACCCACTTTTTATTGTGAGTTAATTAAAATAACGTAATCAGCCTGGCTAAGCGTTCCCCTTTGCTCACATTCTGCAACATTATAACATCTTCTAACACACTTAAGCAAAAATGGCACAAAAATACCTAAAAATAAAATTCAGACTAACCAACTAGTCTACATGTAAAACAACTCTCAGAAAACAGTCAAAATTGAGCACAATTTATGTCTGTGGGTAAACATTGTAATTTGGTTTGGCAAGCTAACATTAGCAGTGTTAGCACCACCAGTCTTCGGCTCTCCCTGCAGGTTAACATCCACGTGACCGTGCTACATGTGGTTACATATCACTCCTGTAGATATGCCAGTTTAACCTGACACAGCTTGCATACATTTTTATCAAAATTTTCTAGATCAAAACACCCTCCAGCCTGCTCCTCTGAGATGCTATCAGTTCACTCTGTTTACATCCAGGCAGTACAGCCAGAAGACCCATTAACTGGAGCTATGGCTACTGCCCCTTCTAGTGGTTGTTGGACAGCTTGAGTACAATATTTGAAATGAAATTGAAGGAATGACAGCCTTAGAAATCGTTCAATAATGATTTGAAAACTGGCTCATTTAAAACATACGACACACACACTCCTTCACTATTTGTCCAAGGAGTGTCAGCCATGCTCAGCTCTGCTCAGGATTGGTTGGATCTGCAGGAACAGATGATGAAGGGCTTTTTGAAATAGGCAGTTTAATGTCAATTGTTAACTTACAGAGTATCTGCTCTTCTTAAAGCAGAGGAAGACTTTTTTCTGAAACTCTGGCAGGTGGTGGTAAGGTCGGTCGTTGGCTTTCACCTTCCAGCCCATCTCTGAAAAATAAATCATTATTTCAAACACTTCAAATTTAAGATGTAACACACACTGATTGACAATGTACAATGTCAATCAGACCATCTGTGACTGTTGCAACATTAAGCCACGCTAGCAGTTTCCATTCACTTCCAGTCTTTGTGATAAGCTAGACTAGACCTCTCTGTGTTGGATGCACTGAAATGAAAAAGACAGATCTCCATCTTCTCATTGGACTGTTGAAAAGTCGACTACGACATGGGGTTTCCCAAAATAAAATCAACAGAGAGATAAAAGAACATTTTAACTCGTACATCTTTATTTTTAACTCACCACTGGGTTTGACTTCCACCGGGGGTTGTGGGGCTCCTGGCGGCGCCTCTGGTTCCTCCTCTTCAGAGCTAGCGTCCAGCTCGTCGTCCGTCTCATCGTCACTGTACGGCATGACCTCATCGTCAGGATGCAGGGACCCACTGGAGTTTACTCGGCGCCTACTCATCTTGCCGCCTCAAGTATCTCTGGAAAAAGTTTAAGAAAGAGTTTGAGTTTACAAGTAAATGTTAATTACATTTATTTTCAAATCAATAAACAGAAGGATTGAAGATCGGACCCTGACTATAAAATAAAACCAGCCTCAGACTCTGACAGGTGGAAAATTGAAGTCAAGTTGATTGCCAATGGAAAGATAAATATAGAAGGCTACCAGCAAACACACAGGCATTAAGTCCAACAGGTTTGACAAGAACAAAACATGACTTGGAACTTCAAAGAAAACTGGAAATGTCCTGCGAGAGGCGTCCATAAAGAAGGAGCACAGAACGGAAAAGGAATCAGACGAATAAGGGAAGACGATCATTTCTAGCCGTTTATACATTAAAGTTATAAAGTCAAGTTAATCTGCACACACTCATAGGGTACTTACACTCGTAAATAGGTTAAACATATTGCGCCACAAAGACTCTCCTTGTCATCAGTACAGAAAACAGAGGGTAATAAAACTGTATTTGAAGGTTTACTGATTTGACAGGACTGTTTCTGACAATCCTCCAGAAATAACACGGATGATGCATGTGTGATGATGACGTTGCAGAGTGTGTCTTGCATGTTTGAGTGCCATGTTAAAAAGAATATGCAGGAATTCGACCGCACCCTGTCATCAGGATCCACTACAATCAGACAATCCACATTATCGTCTATTTTTAGAAGAAACACCTGACATGTCAGTGTGGGAACTGAACCTGGGGTCTGGTTTTTAAGCATAGGACCGAGTTAACACCTCTACATGTAAATGCAGAGGACGCATCACCATGGAAACCTTTCATCAGGTTTCCCAACATTTTTAAATCAGGGTTAGGATGGCTTGAAAAGCCGGATGAACCACTGACGAATGATTCTTCAGATTTTTTATGATTGTTTGTATCCAGATAGCAGATTCCACTGTGCCAAAGGATTTGAAAACAATTAAATGAGTCACATGTTACACAGGGTGACATGTTTTTCACTGCCAGAACACACACACACACACAGTAGTTTATGTGCATCATCGTACCGCGTGGGAGCGATGGTTTACCAGTGGGTTTTTTTTTTTTTTTTTCCATAAATCATTCCTCAATTATCTTTCTTTTTTTTCTTTTTTTTTTTTAAGATTTAATTTTGGGCTTTTTGTGCCTTAAATGGATAGATAGGACAGTGGATAAAGTCGGAAATCAGGGAAAGAGAGTGGGGAATGACATGCGGGAAAGAAGCCACAGGTGGGATGTGAACCTGGGACGCCCACTTGAGACTACAGCCTCCATACATGGGGTGCGCGCTCTAACCACTGCACCACCAGCACCCCCTCAATTATCTTTTTAATTCAAGATCCTAATTGTTATAGTTCCAATATTTCTGTTACCAAAAACAACCCAATCAAAGGGGTCCAACGTACTGTCAGTCTTATTTACACACCAACAACAACAACAACAACAGCCTTGTAAGTGGAAAATCCTTTGTGATGTTCTGGATTCAGGCAACTGTTGGCTAAATGGCTCCTGCAAAATATTCAGTATATTAAAATAAAGGTTAAGGTTAAAAATGAATGCACGTTTTAAGGCTCTGCTTAGCGGTCATTGGCCTCGTGTTGCATTGCTGCTACATTTCAGTCACAAATCCATTTTCCTGATTTTTGTTGATCATCTCCTTTAATAACCAGTCTCTTGCCGATATGAACAACTTCAACCAAAATTAACTTAAAGATCCCCAGATCCCGGAATAGATGACTGGTTTTGAAGATATTAACTTTTTAGCTTCACAGATGTCCGATGATCGTTTTGATTCTGTTTCAGTTCTGACAGATAAGACATCAAATCCTCAGTTCCACTGGAAATCACTGCAATTTCCACCTGACAGCTCTGGGTTAGCAAGAGCCAAGATTAGGTTGGGACCTTATACTTCCCTTATCTTAAAGTTTAATGATGTGGAGGAGTCGTTTAGCACCGCTGATAAGGTTCATTAGTCCTGTGTCCAAAACCAAACAAGACTTTAAAGTGCTGAACGGACAGGAAGACTGTAGGACTCAAAGAGGGAAGGTAGAGTTCATTCATTACCAAATAGTTTCTCCTCTAAATATAGTTTGTGGTTTTCTTATGGGCGGCTCCCTGACTTCAGAAATGTTGTGTCCAAGACTCAATGGGTGGAAAACACACTTGCTCTAAGTTGTGAGTAAACAGCCAGAGCAACATATTCAAGCACAGAGGACACTTAAGTATGTGATCCGTCTTCATTTAAATAAACTGTGGTTTGACTGAAGGAGCTCTGCATCGTCATCGCACAAGTCTGCACATGAATCAGAGTGAGGAGGGGGAGCACATATAGAAACAAGAATAGGAGAGAAAGGTTTGTTTTAACAACTGACACACTCAGAATGTAAGAGTCTGACAACATTACAGAGAGGAAAGAAATGTCCCTCCAGACATCAACCTTTATGTAGAGTTAAATGCTTTGTTAAACACAATGGCCCCTACATTGCTCTCTTCAAATCCACAAACCTCTATTGACAGAAGGTGTCATTAACTGTTTCCACAGCTCAGATGGAGATGGTTATACATACCTTCATTTATTCCCGTTTGGATTACTGTAACTCACTTTTTACCTTTCTTAACAAAACATTTCTTAACCGTTTACAATCAGTACAAAATGCTGCAGCCGGACTATCAACCAGGTCCTCCAAAAGGTCACTTATCACTCCAGTTCTGTTTTCTTGACACTGGCTTCCTTTCAATTTTAGAATACAATTCAAGATTCTTGTTCTGATTTTAAAGCCCTGCATGGACAGTCACAGGTCTACGTCCCAGAACTTTGACAGCCTTACACTCCCAGCAGATCTCTGAGGTCTTCGGATCGGGGTTTGCTGGCCTGGTAGTCACACACACCAGACTCAAGAACCAAGGGAGACTGTGCATTTGAGGATGCAGCTCCAACACTTTAGAACGCTATGACTCTCGGTCTAAGATTTGTGGGCACTGTTGACTCTTTTAAAAAGCAGCTAACCGTTCAGAACATGGTTGCTGCTGGTGAACTCCTACCTGGAACTATCCGTCTTATTCATGTCTTTGTATTACTTAGGGTTAGGCTAATCAAATACAACTAAAATAACATACAAATACCAACAAACACACAAAAGAATACCACAGCAGGCAGCAGCAGATCAGCAACTCCCTGAGGCAGAACCGGTATTTCTGTCAATGGAGCCTGGTGGCTGCGGATGGAGAAATGAAACTGAAGTTTCTGGTTTAAAAAAAATAAAATAAAAAAATCTAATTTTCTCAAGCAAGAAAGTCTTTCTCTGTGTGGATTCTTTCCAGGAGGTTTAAATAACAGGCTAAGACTGTCAGTGACAAAAACGGGAATGTTTAATGGTCATAATATGATTGGGCGGATTTGCAATTAAGTTTAAGTTGCTGCCTGAAGAGTTGGATTTAGCAACCTACTCAAGCAATTGTAAAAAAAAATATTTGTACCTACTCTACAAGTCATTAAGACCCCAAATATATTTGGCATGGTTGAGAAAAAAAATAGAATCCTCCTTGAATGCTAGTTCTGATGTAACAATTAGAAGTTATTCTCCAGGGGGCGCCGGATAGCTTAGCGGTTATGTTACGCGCCCCATGTACAGAGGCTATAGTCCTCATTGCAGCGACCATGGGGTCAAATCGGACTGTGTCGTCCCAACCACCACCTGACGCCCAGCCACCATCACCATCATCGGACTGTGTTGTCACCAAAACCACCGCTGTCCTCATTATTGCATGGCCTGCTCCGATCTACACCTCAGCAGCAAGTAAGTGTGGACAACAGGAAAGCGAGGAATACAAAGGAGAAATCCTTCCTGCAAACTATCCCATTTGCTCTTTTGTAAAGAGTCTCCAGATAACAGTTGTTATAAATTGTCGCTTTACAAGTAATGATTGATTGATTGAGATCAGACCTCTGCCCTTTGCTGCATTTCATTCCCCTCTCTCTCCTCCTAATATTTCCTGTCACTCTTCACCTATCCTAATTAATAAAGGTAAGGTTGACTTTCTATTGAACACTTAACTAAAAGTATAATCTAGTAGTTCCTTCCATGATGAGGAACTATTTTAAAGTTCCTGTAGAATATTTCTCAGGTGTTGAGTCATTTTTTCCGGTAACAAGAAAAAAAAAACACCTTGACACCTGACGCCCTCATCTGAAGATTAATGCTCGTTCAAAGTCCTCAACATGTAGTGAAACAACGAGCCAAACCAAAGGAGTACACAGCCTTTCACAAAAGTGCTGCGTCACACCTGCATTCATGCACACGCTCTTTTGGAAACCTGTTATCACTGAAAGACTTCTCTTTGCAAGACATTTCCTTGATTGCAAAACGGAGACACAAAAACACGTGATGATGCCTCTGAAGAGTGTAAGATCACCTCTCAACATGTATGTCTGAAAACAAGTCAATATTATCTGATTTTAACGATGCATGATTAATCATTTTATCTTAAATAATAGACGTGTAATAACACAGCCAACTAGAGAAAACGAGAAACCGCAGTAGTTTGGAAGAGTCTTTGAATCAGAGCAGCTGCTGTTTGGAGTTTTGGTTCACTTCATTTAAGACCCTCGTGTGCAGTGTAGAGTCCATCACTTTCACTTTCAGTCATGTAATGACATCAAACAGACAACATGAAACTTCCTCCAGCTACTTTACATCAAAAGCATCCCTCTTACAACCTCTGGAGAGGCTTTTATTTTGAAGCTATAGAAAATGCTCTAGAAAAGCATGATTAGCAAACAACAAAAAAATCTCTCACTGCGCGAGAGAAACAATCCTTAAATAAAGTTTTTCGCCGCACAGGTAGGATGATTGGTGTCACCCTGCCATCTCTAGAAGAGATTTATAGTGCTAGACTCATGTCCCGGGCCCTCAGCATTACCAGGGACCCCGTGGAACATGCTGCTGCCAGTCTTTTTGTTCCTCTTCCCTCAGGCAGACGGTATCACTCTATTAAAT